AATAATAATAATAATAATAATAATAATAATATATTTGATATTATACAGTAGAACCCCTATGACGTGGACACCTTTGGGACCAAAAAGGTGTCCCCTTAAAAGGGGTTGACCTTATTGTTTAAGATATTCATTCTTTCAATAATATACAGTCAAAAAAGTGTTCCCTTAATAGGGGTGTCCCAAAGGAGGAGTTCTACAGTATTTATATGTATAATTAATACAAATTTATAATATTAATGCTGCTCTAAACAATAATAATGTTAATATCAAGTATTTTATAGGATAGTTATTATATTTATATGTTTAATAATGTTAATAAAAATTTATAACATTGTTTCTTGTTATTTCAGTCTATTTGCAGATTTTGCTAATGTATTTGCATATTGTGTAGTGTTCTGGTTTGATTTTGAACATATACATGTTCTAAAAAAGTGAGTTGCTTATTCTTCTAATGTTACAATAATTATAGTTCTTTTTAAATAGATACATAGTCAGATTTTTGAACATCCAGAATTTTTTTAAACTGGGCCGCAACATACAGTACTTAGAATAGATAAGTGAGTAGCGCTAACTGATCAGCGCTAATTTCAATATATGCATCAAAATTACCAAATTTTGTGGCGAAAATCGGGGGGGGGGTGTCCTGTCCCTGATTTCCCCCTACTGGATCTGTCCCTTTCATGGACATATTTGATCACACTACAATTGGTTTTATGTTGTCTGTTTTCTAAATACAGCTTCGATTAATCAGCCAATTGCCTATCAATTTCCTCTCAAGTGATTACATCCCTCAAACAATGCCCCATGGCACCATATATAAACATTCCAGCATACAGCTAATGAGACATCCTCATTCAAGGGGTGTTCTCAACTGAGAGAGAACATGCAGTTATTCTGCTTGTCGATGTATCTCACTCATAGACTACCAACATCACTACTGATTTGTCTAATTTGTTTAAAATATCTTATAGTGAAGCGTATGTGATGTAATATTTAACATTCGTTAAACATTGATTCTATAAATAACTATTCTGTTTTATTACATTTCTTATATATAGGCTTCACCCAAAAGAAATATCTTTAGATGGGTTTCCATTTTTTCTTGGCATAGCAATATATTGTTTTGAGGTAAGTAATGGTACAAATACATTCTAAATTATTTTTTGTGTTGTGTACTGCTATGGGGAAATCTTGTTAATGACTATAGAGGGTTGTTCACATGGGATGGTGTCATATTTACACCTATCTGTGCACATGATGATGTCAAACAGAAGACACCAGAAATCAACAAATCATTTTTTTTTTCTGTGCCAAAAAAGCTAATATTAATCATTGAAAATTCCTGATCTTTACTATTTTGAGTTTATCAAAAATATTTTAAGAGATGCTCTGTCCTTAAAACCAGTGATAAACAAAGATATGTTAATTGATTTTGTGTTAATGATGTTTCTTGCAGGGTGCTGGGATGGTATTATCTCTTGAAGCGTCCGTCCTGCCTTCAGTAAGAAGTAAATTTAGAAAGTAAGTTAAATCAAATATCTAACTTTCACAAAAGTATTTTTACATAATCTATTCCATGTAAAATCAATACAAAAATGTAACAATATCTGAAATAGTTTGATCTGGTTTCTGAATTTATGAACATGGAAAATTCTTGTAAGTAAACCAATAATATACGTACTGTTTGTGACCCCCTCAATCTGCCACTAACACAAGAAAAACAACAAAGTCCAAAAAATGATTTATGTATTTTCAATGTACTTCACTAAACAGAGTACAGAAACAAATAGAATCTTTAGTGTAGTAATGTTATTAAAATAATATATTACTTGTTATTTACAGGATATTTGTCCTTGCATTGGTATTAGTAACTACTCTTTACATTGTGTTTGGTGTGTGCGGGTATTTGGTGAGTCATTATTTTTATTATGTTATGTATTATTATTGACACTAATTTAGATTATTGAATACCAAGAGTGGAGTGGAGTTGAAAAGCTTAGTGGTTAAGGTGCTAGCTTTCCAGTCCCAGGGTCCTGGGTTCATTCCTGTAATGATAACAGGATTTTTTCTCACGACCAATACAACGCCACTCTCATAGCCTCGTAATAAGACAGGATTTTCACTTTGAAGAGCGAATAACTTCCCTGTTTGGCATAAAGCCGAATAAATAAATAAAACCAGTAAGCCCAAACTTATATTTTGGTTGTGGTGTGGTGATTATGTTCATCATCATCCATTGATCGTGGTCGAGATAGACAACAGTCGAACACGCTGCAGCTTTCCTCCGGCCATTGCTAGCGCAAGCTACTCTGGTCTAATACCAGTATCTCTTGCACTCGTGTCAGGATAGGTTACTGGTCTACACTCTCTACTTTGACATGGCAATTTCCATAGCAAAACATAAAAAATAATCTGTTCCTCAGCCTGGACACAATGTCCAGTGAAGCATGTGCGCCTCGGACCCACAATTTTTCTACAGTATAGATGTCAGATTTTGTACCTGCATGATTTTTTTATAATACAGTAATTTATCTTATTACGTATCTTTCAGTCGTTTGGACCAGAGACAGAGAACATCATTACATTGAACCTCCCACCTGGATTGTTCCCACTACTTGTCAAGGGCTGCTTATGTTTCTCACTCTTCTTCACCTATCCAATGATGATGTTCCCAGTCTCACGAATCATTGAAAATATTACTACAGACGACCCTCTGCGCAACTTGAATAGAGGGGTAGGTCAGACTTCCTAAGTAGAATTGATTACAGAGTAGAAAGTATCACAGTTGACCAGCTTCTATAAGCAGACTCTATAATGGAACGCCAAGCTTAGCAAGTATTTAGCTTGCCACTTCCCAAGCCTCGTATAGGGACTTTGTTTAATAAGGGATCAAGGGGCCCAAATGATCAGCCCTCCACTCTCTAAGCCTCATAAAATAACTTGGTTATAGAGATTTTGAAATTTTAAATGATAGCTCTCCATTCCCCAAACATCTTACAGAGACATGGCTTTAGAGAATTTAAGGTCCCACATTGAATATTTTATTTTCTATTGTTATTAACATGTGGGGGTCAAAATATCCACATCGCCGGCCCAGATTAAAGCTAACCCTATCACTACCATACAAAAGAACAATGAGATCGAACAGCATCAGACTATTATAGCTTGTGTGCATGGCCATGCTAAGAAGAATAACATGTGGTTTTATTTTCTTTCAGAATATTATTCGTTGCTCGATGGTTTTACTAACTGGCCTCATCGTTCTTGCTATCCCAAACTTCACCACCCTCATGGCCCTAGTGGGCGCTAGCTGTTGCACCCTCCTTGCATTTATTCTCCCGGCAATATTTCACATGAAATTATGTCATGAGTAAGTTATTGTGACCAAAAAATTGTTTATTTATATTATTAATAATAATCATGATAATAATAATAATAAATAATAATAATAATAATGTTATATTTATATAGCGCATATTGCACATTGCCTCTCTGCGCTTTACAAAGAAATAATATAAACCAACTGAGAAAATGCAAATAACAATAAAATAAAATAATCATAACAATAATAACAATGAGACTAAACTACTCCTATTCCTTAAACTAATTAATGGTTGGCCGTTGACTCCGAGGAGCTCATCCACCGTTTGTTCAGCTATTGGTTTTTCTTGCTTTGACTGGATGGAGTTTAATGTCGTACCCAGGACCTCCCTAACTACTCTTAAATACAGTATATTACTCTAACTATAAGAATAAATATAAATTATTTATACAAAAGATTCTACATAATGACCTAAAATAAATGTAGAAGTTTCCATGTTTAATAATACATATGATTGTTAATTATAATTAAAGATACTATAAACACAAAATAGAACTCTCCCATACCAAATGTTAAGCGGATATACATCCTATCTTTTACGCAGATTCAGATGTACTCAACGCCTTATTTAATGGGGGTGCTGTGTACAATTGGATATAAATATGCTTACATTAGTACAATGTACCACAATGTAATTCGGTGATACAGTTTCTATCTTGTGTTTCTAGTACTGTATCTTTGTTATACTACTATCCATAATTTGTATAAGTTTATTTTTATTTATTTTATTTATTTGTTCTTTATACTGGGTTTCCTCTTCAGTAACAAATTACTGTTCTCCCAGAGGGCCCAGTTCACATAAAACAGTCCACGACAGGGGCACACCGGGGTAACGCCCTACTCATCTCGAAGGATGTACTGGCTTCTTTAAAGTGCACAGTTTATAGTCCTTATCCGAGAAGACTTGTTAAGTTTAAATATGTCAACACTTTCAATCGACAAGAATTTGTATAGCTGCAGTCGTCATTGGCGCTATGACATTGGTATCATTTACTGTGATTATTATGTTCAACATCATGCATGATTTTTTTTTCTCAATAGGACTTTAACAATGCGTCAGCTAGTTTTTGATTGGATCCTCATTATTCTAGGAGTTGTTGGGTAAGTGGCCAATTAAATCCTATCATTTTGGAATTAAATTAAATATCAGAACTATTTGCCATGAATGTATCTATATTGGGATAATACAGATTGTGAAAAGAATGAAACATAGGCTGCTAATCTCTTAAACATTCTGATAAACATTTTTAAAAACTTTTAAAAAATTTTACTTTTATTTCAGGTGTTTAATTGGTACCCATGATGCATTGCACAGGATGTTCTCACCTGAAATCCCTGTTGGGAATAGCGCCACCCTTATACCAAGGGTAGTACAATCAAACCTAACAGGACACAAATCAACGTGAGCATTCTTCACATGGAAATCATGAATTAAAGGCTGGTCTTAAGGGTGGGGATTATTCCAGGGTTGAGAATGTAAAATGGTTGTGGGGTAGGGAGGAGGTCATTGGGAATTCTTAGATTCGTAAGCCGAGCACTTATTGCTCCCGACAGCCGACGCAAATTTATGGAGAAAGCAACATCACAATGCGTGCGTCTGATGTTTTTGATGATGTTCTGTTCAGAATGCCACCGACAATCAGCGTACAGTGTTGCGTCTTCTAGCGCTCACATTGAGCGGGGTTAGATTCGTTGTACGACGCAGAGTGTTCCCGCCTTTTGATTTTTCTGCAATAAATTTCCCAAGTTCTAGTGGATGTTTCTCACTGTGGGTGATATGTTGTTTAACACAGTTTAACTTGCATTAATTCTTGTTTTTTAGTCCATATTAATAATTACAGTAATTTGTTCTCACCATTGAAGCAATAAGTTGGATCCATATTTATTACTTTTAATTTTTATTTGTTTTCTCTCATGTCTTCCATTAAAATGTTGAAAATATATTTTGAGATAAGTAACTAAAAAGAGGCTGTGTGTGTGCATGTTTCAATATATGGTAATTGTTGAATTTTAATGTCATAATATTTGGTTTTTTTTTATTTCATAATATCAATTATATAAAGGACCACCTTTCTTAACTTCATTATACAGTATATTAAATTTTCAATTTCGTTTTATGTAATAATAAGTATTGTACTTGTTTTTAAATTATGCCACTCTAGAATTACAATGAAAAATCTATAATGAGATGAATCATTGATTATTTAGTATTGTGGTAACAAGTTCTCGTAATTCGTAAAGCTCCGATGAAGGCAGTATAATAGAGAGAGTAGAGTATGTTGGCCCTAACAACCACACATACAAAAAAGACCTATTATTCAATCAGCCAAAGTGTTTCTAGAGCTCCACATTGGAGTTAAAAACATGACATCTTAACTTATTTTTATAATAAAGAATAACATTGTTATTATGAGGGCTTATGATTAAGATCAATTTGTGAATATGGGACCAATGCATATTCCCTGACAATTAAGCAAACTACCAATGACAAAAGTTTGAATGTAATAAGTACTGTAGAAATATTTGGGGACCCATGACAGATGATGGGACACGTTGCCCCACTCACATCTGAATAGCGAGTGCTGTACATGGAACCAAAGTTTTAAACATAATTATTTTAAAGTTATATCTCTTGTCTTTTTGATTATTAGGAAAATACCACTAGTTATTACTACCTCACCACATGATGAAAATACACCCAATGGAGATTTTAAGGAACACTCTTTGGGTCTTTGGATTTTTTTTATTTTTTTCATCTCTGCTAAGATACTAAATGCTAAGATATTAGAAGAAAGAGTTAAAACTGGATAAAGCAACCATGTGTAAATTCTTTACATATTAACAAAGTCTATTTTAACATTAGTCCAAATTATAGATTATTTATAAACACTTATATGTATAACTAATTTATTTGTTTTGTAAATATTATTGTAATAATAAGTGATAATTTCTAACTTTGTATATAGCTACAGTTGAACCTCTTGTAAGCAACTACTCTCTGGTGCAGGAAAAAGTGGTTGCCTGCCAGACCACATGACACAAAATATAGGCCTAAATCATTTATATGTTACATGTTAATAGGCTTTTGGCCTACTGAGTACACAAACAAATTTTGGGGAAAAAAAATGATTACATCACATTATGACCATATATGTGAGGTCTCACCACGAAATAAGACACATCGTTGGTGAAATCATATTGAGATATTCACCAAAACAGGCCAAAGTCAATATATTTACAAAATTTTGATATTTATATACTTTGTAAGTGAATTTTCTTGCTAAAACTGTGTTTTCTACACATATTATTTGTACAGGTTAGTTTATCTTTGAGGTAGATTTTCTCAAAACGTGGTTCTTATACACCTAAACTTTAAATGCTCACATCTCTGGATTTCCTTATAGTAGGGAAGCCATTCAAGGACCAAATGAAAGCTTATAATGTGATCTACCCAAATATGATATAAACTCAATTTTTGAATTTCTAACCATGAGACTCATTTTGTGGTGAGATCTCACATATAGGAATTCACCAGTTTTTTTTGGTTTTTTTTGTTAAAGAAAATTTTATAATGTGGACTAGATAAAGCAGGTATAGACTAACATGTTTAACATTAGCAGTAATAAAATGAAGTCATTGTGTTATTTGTTATTACTCTCTGGGTAAAGTTGTGTTTACTGGAAAACTATGTCTTGACCACCAGTATGTGTGGTCATGGTGACTTACAGGAGGTGTTACAGTTATTAAATTGGAACAAAATGGGCTTTTGGCAAGTGGTAGCTTAAGAAAGGTTGGTCGCACAGAGGTTCAGCTGTAGTTAAATTTGATTGAAAAAATAGTTAATAAATAATAAGGGTTCTAATCATGTATCACGTACGTTTGCAGCAAATGTATTCAATTGAATGTTTGACAATGTTGCTGGCTGCACCATGGGCGTAGGCTGGGGGAAGGGGTACTCCCCATGGTAGCAAATTAGTTTCACTAAAGGGGGTAGAATACTAAAATATTTAGTTCCGCAACCCCTTCCGCAATCCTACGCTTGGTGGCTTGCCAGTCAATACGTAGTAGGGGAGATTTCCTGCTGATAAATACACTATGTAAAGGCAACTTGATTTCTTGCTTCGAACAAGATACCATTCATATATGGTGCTGTCAGCACCGTGACCACGGACGATTAATGCAATAATGACAGCGGCTCCGAGTTTCTTTCCTATTTACACATACATTTATTAAGTTTTTAAGTATACTTGTTCTATAATTAACATAATTCAATCTTTGTTAAATTTAAAGTCCTGGCCTTGACCACCCTAGAGTCACTCTCAGATAGGCTTATGACTTCTATGAATGGATGCCTTGTTTGAAGCAAGAAATCAAGTTGACTTTACCCAGTACCGTTTGTGTATATATCGGCAGGAGATGTCCCCTACTAAAACCAGCCTACGCCTTAAGTACTTACAAATACTTTTTAAATGCAAAATTCCAAAAATAAGGCTAATAAACATCACTACACCAATTTTAACGATGCCTGTGTTATTTATTCATTTTTTTGTACTGCTTCATGTTTATAAACAATCTTAGGTGAGGCTTTTTTAGCCAACCACCCGCCAATAATGGTGGTTTCGAATAAAAATAAAGTTATTTTTGGGCAATTACCAAACCCACTGCCACAAAAAAAATAAAAATTTCAGAAAAATATAAAAGTTTTTTAAATAAATAAAGTTATGTATATTTCTTCCTAATTACATAAATTTAAAGCATTTAACCATCCAATTACTACAGTTTTCATTCTCCAATAAAATTTTATTTTCTCCTCCGTCTCCATGTTTTTGTCAAAAACTGTTTGCTAAATAAAACAATTTTTTTTCCCATCGTCCTCCCCCCTTAAAACAAGATATTAAATGTCGCGCCTTACGGTGTTTAAATGCTAATTTAAAATGGTGTGATAGCGGCCGCGTTAAAGAATATAGAACAATATTCCTTGCAGTCTTCGTGCATGCTGTGTGGAAAAACATTAGATACATTGGCAACACTGAACATGTTGCTTTATAAATTGATTTTTTTGATAGGGTTGAAACTGTGCCTAAGTTCTTTCCATAAAACAATCAGGTAATGATATGTTTACTGTTTAATTTATTCATACATTATCAATACAACCTCTACATTTTGTTTATATACAGTATTTTATGTATAAATATTTTTGTTTTAAATTACAAATAAATCCTATTGAATAAATGGTATATAAGACCAATTAAAGCATTTATACATATTTTAAAGGAAAATAAATATTTAAATTCAAGTTATCTATAAAAAAAAATATTGAAATGTTTAAAAAAATAAGATACCATTTCTGAATGCTTATTCCTGTACCAACAGGGAGGTAATGTTATTGGATGTAGATTTAGAAAGGAAAGTAAGTAGTCCCATGTGTAAATATGTCACTCCCCTAGTAACAATGGAATTCACCATTGTCGTCATAGGGAGCACCCACTGCTTAATTGTCTCATGGACTGCACCCCCACGTAACATATTAAAGCGTATTAGTTTTTAAAAAAACAGTAACACTACTATCGCCCTCTACGAAGGAATTGTTATCTTGTGGAAAGTTATCACTTGCTGTAAGCTAGCAGGGTGGCTAGAAGATGCTGGCTTTGTGTTGTAGTACTGTATAAATAATATAAGACCTGTAGAACCACATTATCATGACGTTGAGTACTTTGCAGAGAATATCCTTGCTATCCTTTTTGCTTCTTCAGCTGTTGGTGGTCTGGCCTGAATCTTGGGTCTTGGTTGACTGATGTGGGTTCTAGGTCGGTGCAACCGATCTGCTACTTCCTTTACTGCTGCTGCCCTCATTGGTGAGAAATGCTGGTCTCGGCGCTGAAAAAAAAAATCAATTTGGTAAATGTATTTTAATTTTAAGTTATTTATGCACTAATGTATTTAGGGACTCAGCATAATTGAATAATTTTATTGACTTAATTGTGGGATGTGCCTACACCATTTAATGTTGAGTTCTCAGGGGGTTTCTTGAGGATATTTCCCGCACGATTAAAATCTTAACGGTACTGGTTTGGTCTACAGGAGTTCGTGTTTCATACAGGTCAATCCATTCATAGAAAAAGCCTTTATACTGGAGAAAGCGTACCAGTCATTAGCCATAGTAGCCTAGGTCAATACTAACTCTGGCTATATAAAATTGATTATAAGATTGAAAAATATTAATCTTATTATTGTAGTAGTGATGATACTATGTACACGTTTTAATTATTCCTTATTTATTCCTTAACGTTATTATACTTATATTTAAATTTGTATTGTTTAAGTATGAATTACTATGTCCATGTTAAATTAATCTTATTTATTAAAATTGTATATTTAAATATAGTAATAGGCATAGCCGAGGTCTAGCCTAGGCCTAAACAAATGACTATGTGAGTGTATAAAATAATATGAAAAATATGAAAAATTTAAATTTGTATTGTTTAAGTATGAATTACTATGTCCATGTTAAATTAATCTTATTTATTAAAATTGTATATTTAAATATAGTAATAGGCACAGCAGAGGTCTAGCCTAGGCCTAAACAAATGACTATGTGAGTGTATAAAATAATATGAAAAATATGAAAAAACGCAAAATTGTGAAAGAATAAAGGAAGAATAGGAAAGAGAATTGGAGCGGCTGAAATACTTTTTCTGAAAATATACAATAGTAGTCAATATGCCATTATTGCATTACGTTTTTGTAAACATTTTGGGCACTAATCGTCACTTTTATGCCTTTTATTTTTCACAATACCAAACAAATTATACCGTTGTTGGTGTTGATACCAGTGCTGACTGCAGTTGTGATGTTGATGCTGGTTGCTGTCGTGGAGGTAGAACTGATGCAGCAGTTCTTAGAGCCCTCATTGAGGCTTCTAGATCATCAGGTGGCAGAAAAAAGTTGGGAACTACTACTGGTTTTTCTCTGATTTCAAACTCAGGTTAAGGCAAATTTTCTGTTTAGACCAATATAAATACCACATATTATTTATTTGAATGAGAGTTATTTAATAAAATAATAAAAACAGCAGCAAAAAAAAAAAATACAAATGAAGAACAAAAAATACCAAAAACCAAAGGATACAACACTTTTGCTTTATCTTCAATTTTCAGCTTTTCTTCAAAACGATCCTTTTGTGCCACAGCCTCTTCTGGGTTCATTGTAATTACAACAGAATCCTCATCAGAATCCCTGACATCACTTACCATCTCTCTACAATAATTATTTGCTTTGTGATCTTTGGTGCTATCCTCTAAATTGGGTTCTGGTCTTTCAATTATTTGACCATTGGGATGGTCTTGGTGATTATTTGTATCAACTGCCTGTATGTGGTCTGGTTCAGTTTTTGTGTCAGTACTCAAAACAATAAAACTTGAGTCGCGCTCAAGACTTTGACCATTATTTTCAATAGTTGCCGGATCTTCTTTAAATATCAAATTCTCTTGCAGGGGAACTTCATGTTCAATGGAGTCTGGCATTGTTGTATCCTGATTCACATCCTCTGGTATCCTACTGCCAAAATCTTCTTGGTGGTCTCCATCAGGATTCTCTTTTTGTATGCATTGTAACTGCTGCCGTTGCTCTACTGATTGCTGAACATTGGGAGAATCTGCAGAGTTGATACCTGTGCTGACTGCAGTTGTGATGTTGATGCTGGTTGCTGTCGTGGAGGTAGAACTGATGCAGCAGTTCTTAGAGCCCTCATTGAGGCTTCTAGATCATCAGGTGGCAGAAAGAAGTTGGGAACTACTACTGGTTTTTGTCTGATTTCAAACTCAGGTTAAGGCAAATTTTCTGTTTAGACCAATATAAATACCACATATTATTTATTTGCATGAGAGTTATTTAATAAAAGTAGCAAATCACAAAAAATAATAATACAAATGAAAAACATAAAATAATAAAAACCAAAGGATACAACACTTTTGCTTTATCTTCAATTTTCAGCTTTTCTTCAAAATGATCCTTTTGTGCCACAGCCTCTTCTGGGTTCATTGTAATGACAACAGAATCCTCATCAGAATCCCTGACATCACTTACCATCTCTCTACAATAATTATTTGCTTTGTGATCTTTGGTGCTATCCTCTAAATTGGGTTCTGGTCTTTCAATTATTTGACCATTGGGATGGTCTTGGTGATTATTTGTATCAAATGCCTGTATGTGGTCTGGTTTGGTTTTTGTGTCAGTACACAAAACAATAAAACTTGAGTCACGCTCAAGACTTTGACCATCATTTTCAATAGTTGCCGGATCTTCTTTAAATGTCAAATTCTCTTGCAGGGCAACTTCATGTTCAATGGAGTCTGGCATTGTTGTATCCTGATTCACATCCTCTGGTATCCTACTGCCAAAATCTTCTTGGTGGTCTCCATCAGGATTCTCTTTTTGTATGCATTGTAACTGCTGCCGTTGCTCTACTGATTGCTGAACATTGGGAGAATCTGCAGAAGCATCAGGAACTATGCCATTACTAAATTCTGGAGATGAAATATCATTGAGAGGTCTGGGGATCACTTCCTCAACATCACTTCCAATGTCTTTGAAGTTCAAACTATCTTCCCAATCACTATCACTCTCCTGTCGAGGAGGATCCCAATGAGCTGGTGGTGGCCTGGGAGGTAACAGGTCTTCAATATTCTCATGTGTACCATATTTAACATCAAGAGGTGGTGTGATAATTCCTTCAAGATCTTGTTCAAAATTCTCTGAAAGGTCTTTATGGGATGAGTCTCTAATTTGTGGTTCCACATCCACCAAACTTCCTGCACCAATAGGATGCCTTACTGCTGAATGTATTAACCCTTCTGCACCAATAGGAAGCATTCTTAGTGATGCATCTTCATTTTCAGTCATCATCTCATCAGCTGACAACCTCTCTGGTTTGTCTCTTTCCAACACACGATAGTCTTCAGCAACATTTATCAATCTATCGTCAGGGAATGTATCTGCAATATTACCCACATTTGCACCACTTCCTTGATCAAAGTTGGTTGTATCTATTCTCTGGTTATCATCTTCAACATTTGGAACTCTTGATGTAGCTGTGAGTTTAGTGTAATCCCTACTTTCAGGCTCAGTAGGCATTAAATGAGTATCATCTCTTCTTTCAAGTTCTGTTGCCATTAATTGAGTGTGATCTTTTTTTTCAAGCTTTTTTCTTAAGTTCTCTTGAATAATGTCAAGCTGCTGTAAGTTTGTTCTGAAAAGAAATTAATCAAATAGAGTTGATTAGCTAATGACCTGACATTCTATGTAATCACTGACTTTTTTGTTAGTGGCATGCCAAATCCAACAAAAGTCTTTGATCGAGGTTCACAAAAGACAAGGATTACATACCTCTTATATACTCTTATACAAATCTGGAGAATTTGATGACATGACATTCTATGTAATCACTGATTTTTATTATAGGCATTTTATACTATTAAAAGAAATATCAATTTACAATACCAGCCTTGATCATTAGAAACATGAACAAGGATGCATACCTCTTATATAGTCTTATACAAATCTAGAGATTTTTTTGTTAATGGCATGCCAAATCCAACAATAGTCTTTGATCGAGGTTCACAAAAGACTTGAAAAGAAGTGGTATGATGTGATCTTATAGCAGGGATCATATTCATTGTGATCTGACCCCTGACAAAGTAGTGGAAGAATGCCATCAAGTGCACTTGTCACATGCCAGCACGGAAAACCATATTGTAGCGACGATGATAAAGTTAACGATGGTGATAATGACATTACATTCTACTTATTGTCTGCTCTTGGGTGAGGCATTCAAGTATCCTGCATATGGGGACACAGAGTTGAACAAAACCACTTTAATCACAAGCTTTAAAAAAAATAATAGAACAATACTTGAGATTTCTTCTCAGGAATGACTTTGAATTCATCATAAATGAGGTTGCTGTGTCTGGTTCAAAGACACCAATATGTGGTGAAGGTTGATGCTTGCTCTCAGGTCCACTCATCCCCCCTCCATTCAGGTATGAGAGTCTTTGCTGGAGGTTCTCATGGAACTGCCGGACATTCCTCAGATGCTGCTCAAAGTGTGACTGTCCATGACTCTGTAGACGGCTGTTCTGTCTCTCGTCTTTATCAACATTAGGATTTATTGGCTCTGAGTTGTGAGACTGTATCGCTTGTTCTGTATATTGCACTAAGTGACTAGGAAACTCTGCATACTGGCTACTTGAAGTGAAAATAGTGGATACATTTTTGGGAGATGTGGTGTTTCCTCGTTGCGACTCAGTTGGTTGCTTCAACGGGGAGATGCTTTCCAAAGGTGAAATAGCAATCTACAAAGATTAACAATAATAGATGATAGGCAAATCCAACAAAAACTTATAACAAAAATCGGTTAGTATATTTATAAATAAATAAAATTCTTTGTTAAGATTTGTCACTTTCCTATACATTATATCATTATAAGCTGTGGTACCGTATGTAAGTGCATTATTATTTTCCTTAGCTCCCGATCCGGATACTAGGGCTCTCGTGAGAAACAGGCTTTTATTATTTAAGACTCCTGATGCTGTAACAGAATTTGCTATGAATTTAAAGGCCAAATAAAAATTAAAAATATCAATAAATGTATTCAATAAAATGATCCAACTGGATTTTAAATCCCAATTGCAAATTTGTGGTACTGCAATCAAGTTTTCTAGATATTGACTAGAATTATTAATTTAAAAAAAAAAACTATCAAAAGTACACATACTGTACTGCCACTATCAGTGGATCTTAATCAGGCAATGAATACCTATATACAATTATTTCAAATTTTCCTAGATGTGTGTATTTTTCATTTTTTTTTGTATTTTATTACAAAACTCTTAAACTTCAGCATTCACAATTTTGTTCTTAAGCTCTTTCCACACAATTTTTTTTAAACTGTTGTATGCCTATATATAGTCATGATGTGCCCATATATAGTCATGATGTGCCCATATATAGTCATGATGTGCCCATATATAGTCATGATGTGCCCATATATAGTCATGATGTGCCCATATATAGTCATGATGTGCCCATATATAGTCATGATGTGCCCATATATAGTCATGATGTGCCCATATATAGTCATGATGTGCCCATAATGTGCCCATATAGAGTCATGATGTGCCTATATATAGTCATGATGTGCCTATATATAGTCATGATGTGCCTATATATGGTCAAAATTTGATGTCATCATTACCATATTTAGGCATGCAACATGTTTTGTCAAATAAAATTTGATAGTCTGGACAGGGTTTTATATTCACCTTGAGTTGCCCTTGACACTGCCCACTGAAATCCATGATGTTGTACCAACCGTTAATCAACTTAAAACCGGCCAAGAGAGGGCAAAGGTCAACTGACACAAACCCCAAGACACGATCACTAGCAGTGCTAGGCTCTTCAGATGTTTGCTGCCATATCTTGAAAATTAGGTTCTAACGAAGTGGAATATTAAAAATTTAGTCTATGCATCTGAGATATGAACTTAGCCTACGATAGCAAAGATAATTCTGTAAATAAATAATATTTTATTCTTTTTATTTTAATTCTTTATTTTATTTTATGTAAAATATGGTTTCCATGCTCAAAATGATCCACTTACCTGGTTCTCCAGAACATCCCTATTTACTTTGGCCTCGTTTTCAAATCCCCAAATGATCCTATCACACCCAGAGACAGATGGAGACTTCACCGAACCATCGGTTGTTTGATAGGATACATAAAATCTATTTAATCTACAAAAGAAACATGACCACCTGTGTCTTCATTTGAACTAATTAATTGATACATTTATTAAAAAGAAAATAGTTTATTATTTATATATTGCCATACAATTCATTGATTACTCAAAGGCTCTATAAATATTTCATGTTAGTTATAGATAGTTCATTTAATGGCTTACAAATCAACACCAGGGCTACATGTGATATGCATGGCAGGGGCTGTCTCTTATACACATCTACTTTTTGGAGGTAAAAAAACAAAAAAAAAAAAGGAAAAAAAGAGAGAAAAGGGAAAAAATGATAGCCCAGAATGCCTCAAATGTTATGTTCGGGCGTCTAGAACACAAAAATTTCGCGGGGGCATGCCCCGAACCCCCTACGACAGTGTTGTCTCAATCGGCCCAACTTTCGGTCCCCCCTTCCGGCCCCCACCCCCTTTGGGACATTTCTAGATCCGCCCCTGCATGGCCTGTGTCTTACCCATTAACACCTGGATTACATGCGACATGCATGGCCTGTTCTACCACAACATGTACTCGCACCGGACGTCTTTTCCATTTCTCCTCCTCTTCCATTCTCTGCCTCTCCTTTTCAATATCTGCTAGTCTTGCAGCTTCCTCTTTTTGCAGCCTTTCTTGTTCTTCATGTTCCTCCTTCTGCTGTAATTTCCACAACTGTTGTCTTTTTCTGGTGATGTAGACATCGTCTTCATCTGGGATGTTCCACAACCTTTGTCTTTCTCTGCTGATGTCACCTACATCTTCATCTGGTATGCTTCCTTCATCATCCTGAAGCCAGATCAAAACAAGCGATGTAAAAAATTATAATTAATTTAGAGAAATTCTTCTTTTAAAAAGTATTTTCTCTAGCATTAACAATAATAATAATGGCAATTTGTAGATTGCAAGTATATGCCTAAAATGACAATCATTTGCGATAAAGAAAAGTGAAAAAAATAAACAGAAAAAACTCCTATTCATATTTCTTCACATTAGGCGTTGAGTAGTATTTTTTAAATTATTATTTCGAGGTTGTTTTGAGTCAGCTTCGTTAAGTAAATAAACATCAAGATGTTACTTACAATAAAGTCATGCTGATGTTTCCTCATCTGTTTCCTGGTGATATGCACCCGGAGAAAAGCGCCCCCTAGGTATGCTGCTCCTGGCTTGAAAACTGGATACATTCCACTGAAAAGACAAATGTAAAGCGTGAAGATTAGAAAACACAATGTTCCTATTAAGATTCAAGCAAATACAGTACCTTCTGGAAGCGATTTGGCACAGTGGATATGGTTTGGTTTCCCAACCTCGAGGTTGGGTTGGTTGCAATCCTTTGCTGTGCATTTCGCCCGTGTCTTTGAGTAAGGCAACTTAAGTGCTTCACCCTACCCAGCTGTATCACTGAGTACCAGCAAATTGCTGGGAGTAACTACTCTCACCTGCTTCACGCTACAGAAACTGGTGAAAAGTTCCAGCTCTAAGAGCCCTAGTGGCTCAGCAAGGATATATTTTAAACTACCTTCTAATTACTCTGTTGCTCTACCAATCAAGAAAGTTGGCATTGAGTAAACTTGCATTCCAAAATATATTTAAAGATATTTGCTTACTGAAATATATCAAATCAGAACTACCATAACGACAAAGCCAACCAACACTAGTTTATATAACAATTACTAATGATACTGTACATATATTTGCATACCTAACTCTTTGAGTGTCTCTAAATCCTCTAGACAGGGGTGAGAGGTCGAGGTATGAACAGCCAATCAGCTTATCCCGCTGCCTTGGCCGAGTCTCACTTGTTGTAGTATCACTGTAGCTCAACCACAATTGTATTTCTAAACGTTCTTCTCTCAAATACCTAAAAATGAGACACAAGTCATTATGTCATAGTACAGATAGCACAGATGGTTATTTGTTTTAGTTGTTTATTGTTTGTTCTGTTTATCAGGAACATAGTGTGTCATACGATGATCGTATGAATGTTGGCCATTAAATCCATGATCGTTCTCTTTGAGCGCTTAATGACTGTGATTTTCAATGACAGTCTAATTAGACTGTCATCAAAAAGATATTTTGTACAATGTGTAGGATCAATTCAAAAGGCTTACCCTATGCTCTGTTCAGATTATCAAACTGTCTTTAACAAAAAACTGTTGCATGCCCATATATAGTCATGATGTGCCCATATATAGTCATGATGTGCCCATATATAGTCATGATGTGCCTAATTATGGTCATGATGTGATATATATGGTCATGATGTGATATCATTATGACCATATTTAGGCATGTAACATGTTTTTTGTTAAATAAAAGTTGATACTGTGGACAGTGCCTTAAGCTTTGTCCACAGTATAAAACTTTATGACAAATGTGTGTGATGTCATACATTGGTATGATGATGTCACCTAAATGTGGGCATACTACATTTTTTTGTCACATGAAATTTGATAGTCTGGACAGAGCTTTAAACAAAATTTTTATGTGACAAATTTTTGTGATGTCATATAACACCCAAATATGGGTATGTCACTTTTTGTCACATAAAATTTGATAATGTGAACAGAGCTTAAGTTTTAATAATTGCTGCGAAGCAGCCAATTCATATTCTTGACAGCAATTTGACCTCTGAAAGGTCATTGTTTGTCAAAAATCAATCGCCTGAGACAACTGAAAAGCGGAGTTTCCTTCTTTCATTCTGCCGGGTAAAATCAATTACTTTAGGCGACGTTTGTAGACTAACCTACTCGTACCAACGTCGGCATGTCGAGACGCTGGAGTACTATTCAGCGTTTTTACTATATTTCTAGGTTTCCTATTTCTACGTTTAATCGGCTCATGTCTCAGCCACAATATTTTGAGGACAATATTATTTACGAACCCAGTTAAACTTATTTACTAGCCTATTTCAACGTGCTAATTATTACATTTAGGCGACGCTTGTTGTAGACTGGCATAGTGTTTGCGGAAATAAATACCATTTTATACACATGCGCAGATCGATTCGCCAGCAGCGAGTCATCGCCAGCAGCAGCGAGCCATCGCCAGCAGAGAGATATCACTGCAGCAAAACACTATTGTACCAACGCTGTTCTAATAATATATAGACAATGGGTCGTGCTCATATTATTTGTTATATTTTTATTATTCATTATTTTCACTTGACTCGCATAAATAATTTTGTTCGAAGAACATTTTATGCAGTTGTACTTCGCAGCACTTCACTTGCAATTTGCAATTTCTAGTAATAATATATATACAGTATACAGGTATATATATATCTTACCAGTGGAAAGGCTCTGTGGAGTGACAACGAAATCTGTGAGCATGCTGAAGGTCTGCCTGAATGTATTCACTATCTTGATCATCCAAATACGTCAACTTGGATACAACAGCAGCTAAATATAAGTGAATTCATTAGCATAAAACCCTGTGAACACTATCAACATGTAACATGCCTATATATGGTCATGATGACATCACATCATGACCATATATAGGCACAACATGACTATATATGGGCATAAAACACTTTTGTCAAAGAAAATTTAATAATCTGAACAAAGATTTAATATTTGTAAGTACTGTAGAATAAGCCTAATATTAATTAACAGAACTTTATTAACATATTAATTAGCATAATATTTATTTAAATATGGCATCTAAAATGGATAAGCTGGGAAAAGATGTCAAGATTAAAAGAAATCACATTTTCTGTAGCATAATCATCATTATCATAATCATACTCCCATAGTCATCATTACCATAATCACTATTTGCATAATAATCGTTAGCATAAATTTTATATCATATCATACAAAATAATTTACATAAAACACTTTGTTGATAAATTTAAAACTTTCCGTCAGTATGTTAATGAGTTTATCATTAGGTTTATGTATACCTTGAGTAATAACAATGTCATAGCGCCACTAAACATTGCATTCTGCCGTGGACATTGGCGCTTTACAAATTCTTGTTGATTAATTGATTGATTGACAAATATATGGCACAAAGCTTTTTTTCACATACCATCCTCTTCAAGGATACTTCATATAAGAATGGTAAAATTAGTAAACAGTTTACCTTTATCATAGAACTTGTATCTAATGTAAGCCTTAGCTTGTTGGTCCACCTGTGTCTGGCCAGCACGTAGAGCACATGACGACGGGAACACGGCAATATCCACATGTACTTCCAAATCTGATGTCATCATCACATGATCACTATCTACGAAGAAGAAAAAATAATAAGTACCTAAATCAGGTGACATTAATAGTCTATGAGTGAGACACTTACCAGATTTTTCCTTTAGTAAACATACCTAAATAATAATGGAATAGTCCAACCAAATACACTACACATTAAACACACATCCTCATTCTCTTTTCATTTTCATGAGACAAATTACCAGTCAATGCGTTAAGAGTTTAGTTAAAATTAGTGAACAGGAACAACAAATGTCTCATTTCAAAGGTAATGCAGTATTTTAACTATGCCTAAGGGTTGAACCAAGATTACTATGGTTAAGCAGACACAAGCAATGGATTAGTAAACTATGCTGCTTTTCTTTAGCCTTACCATGTTGCTGGTGTTCCTCTACATCATGCAATGATTCATCAGGGGCCCAGCCTAAGGTGTGTGCAGCATGGATCACCCGTTCACGATCATGTTGATGGGCTAGATTGATCAAAACCTCTAGGCCTCCACCTACCCTATCGGTAGGACAATGCATGCTTCCTGCCCTCTCTTGTTCCTGCTGTAGCAAGGGTTGTTTGGCTTTAGAACTGTCCCAGCCCAGAGGAGGAACATACAGTGGATACCAGCCCTTGATTCCTATGATGAAAGAATATATAATGTTGATCAAGACAGTTTTGAATTGTTAGAAGACAGAAGACTTCTGCAACATCTAAAGATGTTTATGCAGTACTTGTGTCTGGTCATCAACTACAAGATTTAACAACTTAAGTGATATGCCCTACCTGTTTTACTGGTTATGAGTCGTCTTAGAGGAATCGTGCAGCTTCCTAGTAAAATGTCTCCAGAACTTGTAAAAAGTCTTCTTGCTGTGACAGACTTCCCAGCAGTTCCTGTTTCAAAGACTTTAACATCAAGATCTTGAAGATAAATGAACACAAAATTGCATATAAATGAATATATTACATTTATAATACAATAATAATCATAATCATGATTGAGATCATCCTCATCATCATCTTCTTCATCATTGTCCTCATCTTCATCATTATTATCATCATGCACATCACAAGAACCTCAACTATATGCATATTATTAATTCAAGCCATTAGACATGATCACTTGTACATGCTTGAGTCCATAATTTCATTTTTGTTTGACTAATTACCTGGTTTAAATCCTGGTACTTGATGCCACACTTGGAAGGTGATATCCCCTGTCTCAAGCATTTCGGCTAAACTCATTCCACCAACTGCAGAATCTTCACTAAACCGCAGGGGGCATGGAAAGTCCACGTAATGTGAAAATTCCGGTGCAAAGTTACGTGCCACTGTCTGGGTCACTCTTATTGCCTAGACGTCAAAAAGAAATCCAAAATTCCAAGGTAAAATAACAATCCAAGAATTCTTCTTGCAAAAGATAACAAAGGACACAATTTGAGACACGTGGTCTAAGCAATTTAGGCTGCTACAGCACAAATGAGGTCCTTCAACGAACAACTTCGAACAGGGAATGAGGAAAATTCTTAGGGAGACGGTTCGTACGTGGCGCCCTGGGTCAAACTGTTCTATTTTTTTCAAAGGGGTGTTCCGTTTTGGGAGCAATGGCAATTAGTCGGTTTATCTAGGTAAGTATTTACAAAATAAATTTTTGTATTATTACTATCTTTGTAGTAAAACACACGTGTTTGCGTATATTTTTACAGTCGTTTTGTGGGACCTTGCAACATTATTTAAAGATTGCAGCTTAGCGGAAAGGTCTATTCATGAAAAAAGCCATCGAAAATTGGAGGGAGAAGAAAGATCAAGATATTTTACTGTTTTCCTTCTTACATCTTTTGACAGGAATGACAGTATCATCTTCACATAACAGTTCACACCAACATCCCCAGGATACTGCATACCAGCATCATGCTTAGCAACCGATTTAGCAGCCGCCTGATTGGATAAGAAGGATGCAATATAAAAAACATAAAAATGCATACATTTATGTATTCAACAAGATTTAGAATTGGTGTTACTTATAGACCCCTATGCTAAAGCAAATGCTGTACTACAAATATAAGTTAATTTACATAATAGTTAAAATGCTCTCGGAGAGAGAAAGATTTCAATATTATTCCCATTAGAAGAGAACAAATTAGAAGCTGCATTTTATTTCATTTTATGTTTCTCATTAGTTCTGATTGTTTTTGTGTATTTCATTTTATATGAAGGATAGGGAGCAAATATTGTTCGGGCTTTCGCCCATTCCCTATCCGGGCAATGCATGATGTTTTTTGCCAAATAAATATTATTATTAATCCTATAGCCTTAATCCCATTTACTGGCTGCTGTTAGCAAAATGTACATTCATATAGTCTTGATGAGTTGTGCAGACAATCATGTGATCACTTAAGTAGAATGATCTGATATAGCAGGAAAATTTTTAAAAAATGCAATCCCTCCCAATTCTTTTTATATTTGTTATAAAGCAGCATGATTAAAAAAATTCAGCAGTAATTGTGATAGATTATTTAGTAATCAACATACATGTCAGGTTAACCACAAACAATATGGGGTTTGAAACCCAAAACCAGTATCAATGGCCATAAAATGAAAAAAAAAATCAACTTTTAATTTATTCATATTCTCCACATGCTTTAAAATTATGGGTCATTTACTAGAATCGACTTACTGTTGCCAAAGTATACAATACTTCCATATTCTTATGCTAATTATTTAGTTTAACATACAGCGACAGTACACTGGTTGTGGGATGGCATATGCCTCATATAACAGGTTAAGAATGTTTACCTTAAGACCGCAAGCTCTGATGATGCCAACGGCTATACACACTTGTGAACCTATGGGTTTGGTTAAGCCGTGCTGGGCCTGATCTTTCATGACACTTGTCTTGTAGTTAATCGTGATGTCCAATAATACAGATATATATATATTTAAACTCTAATACAATTTTTGAAGGTAATATCTGTTTTTGGTCACTATTTTCATAATAATGCCTGAAAAAACTTGACGATTAATGCTCAAAAGATTAGTTTACCTTTGCTCGTTGCTCGACATCCTGAGGCTCATCTTCCTGTAGCTGGGGCCTGAGTGGTAGCGAGAAACTCTGAACTGATGTCTCCCCTCGCTTCTGCATTGTTACCATGGCACAGAGCTTAGCCAATGGGAGAGTAGCCTGTAAGGATACAGCAAAAAATGATTTTTTTTTTAGGGTGCTACCACAAACAGTATCTTTAACACTAAACAAAACATACTTTTGTACGCGCATAGAATATTGTACATAATAATCATGCACCAAAATAGAAGCATGGTGTCCATTGAATGAAAAATGATAGAAAAATGTAACTTTCTTTCAAGTCAGCAAAATGGAGCATTAAAAAAACCAATTGGAAAAAAGATCTTGAACAACTTATTTACCTTGGCCAACACTTGGTCTCGAATATTAGGGTAGTAGTAGCGACACCACACTTCAAAAGGGATCCCACCTGCGCCACCACCAACACCTGCACAAGCTAAGAGATGAAACAAAACTTTGGTGTTATTATCATTACTATCAATATTATCATATCGTCATCTTATTATTATTGATCATCACGTTCATCATTACTATACTGGCATCATTATCAACATCATGCACTTCATCATCAACATCCATCATTATCATAATTATATCATCACAATATATTAATTATTATCAACATCAAATATTATCATCACTACCATCACCATCCACAGTCCTCATCAAATTCAGATAATTTCATCAACACCTTTATCACAACTTTGCATACTATCAAATAATATTTTAGGTTATATGATGATATTAATTTAGATAATTTAAATCTATCCTCAAACATCACTATCAAATTTCACTACTCACACTCCACATCTACAGTTTAATGATTTTTTTTTGTAATTAATATTTGCCTATACTGGCCTTGGCTCTTGAACGTCATATATCACTCATTTTGCAATGATCATCAACAATCACCATCTTCATCATCGACATTACTCTTATCTCACGATTCTCACCTGTGAGCAGCTCCCTCTGGACAGGTGTGTTTCCTGGAATGTTAAGTCTGTGCCTACAGATATCATGGAACATTGGATCTGGTATGCACAGGGTTGTAGCAGTTCGATGAGGCTTCAGGGTTGGTGTAGCTAAATTACCAAAAAATGGGGAAAAAGAATTGAAGAAATAAGAGGAATTGTTTTTGGTGGAGGTGCCCTTTGGGATATCAACAATAAGAATAGCACACATGTAACTGTGAAAAAAAAATCAATTTTATCATCTTATACTGAAATAGAATATCTCAATAAAAACTCTGGTTTGGGCAGAGGGTATATTTTGTGATATCAACAATGAGATAGCTATGAAAAACAAATTACTTATTTTATTACCCTCCTGCTGAAATGAAATATCCCAATCATCACAATTTAATATATGTAAACCATTTATCAATTTGATTACTGAACTGTTTACATAATAACTTTGCAATAGAAACTCAAGCAAAGACTTAATTATCCTTTATTCCATTTTTATCTCTTACACTCAAATTATGTATTTATCAATAATATACATTTTATGTTTCCCCTGCATTAATGTGTTTGACAGACCTACTTTCCTAAATGACAAAACAAAACACCACTTAACATTTGGATTCTGCTATCCTGTTAATATCTTCCAAACAATTTTGCTAAGAATGAGATATAAAAAAGTCTCATCCAATATAAAAGTACAAATTGGTATGCAACACAATGCGGTGCCCATATTTAGGCATGCAAAAACACAATTTTCTTACGATGTTTGATTGGTTGATCTGGGGCATGTTGACCCTGCTGGGGGCATGTTGGGAAGTGGTACTGCACAAAGCAGTCCGCTTCACCCCATACAGTGTCCTGGAATTGTGGGAATCCCCGAATGCCTTCCACGATCACCTCAAACACATGCTCTGAGAATGGAAACAATGATATAACAATATAAAAATCAAGTAACAATAATACTAGAATACCAGAATATTAATCTGATACAATCATCAACCCATAACTCCAGACAAAAACATATGCATGTCTGAATATGGTCATAATGACATCACAGCATGACCATATATAGGTACATCATGACTATATATGAGCATACACCAGTTTTTTCTTCAAAGAACATTTGAGAGTGTGGGCAGAGCTCTATTTGTCAGCATGATCAATGTAAACAGTATACAAAGACAAAATTTCATGGTTTTAAAAATGATGCCACAACAATAATGCGAGAAAGAAATGGCAAGATAGAATATGATTGTTAATAAAAAAGCATTTAAAATTTAAACAACCATTTGTGAGTCTAGAGCTTGCCAAGAAAATCCTAGTGTGCCAAAATCCTGATATGCAGATTGACGACTGGCTGCAAATATATGAAAACCCTAGGCCTAACTTTTCTTGAGAATCTTTACTATTTGGGGCCAGTGTTTTTAGGCTAACCACCCTTTTCCCCCTCATTATTCATACTTTAAGCAATAATTACCTCTCATTTTATTTGTTCCTGAAGCATCATCACTGGTTAGACCATCAGCCCTATTGTACAATAAAATCATAATACTGTATATTAATATATTTCATACACATCAATCTGCTATGAACATCTTTAAAAAAATTTGTATCATTATCATTATCCAATCATTTTCATTATCATAATAATAATAAAAATCATTATTATTATTTACATTACTACATTCATTATAATAAAAGAAAATGTACTTTTACTTTACAAAAATGAAGCACATATTAAAAAATATACCTTTCCAAAAAATGTTCTGGTCTATCAGCAAGTGGCACACTCGCTACACTGTCCAATTTTACTCTTTGTATTTCAGAAATCTATTTAGACAAATATGATAAACACAGAGTTAATAAATAATCAAAAGAAATAAACAATTACAATTATATTGTATAATTACCAATATTGTTTAAATTAAATGATTTAAAAAAAAAATTTACCCTACAAAACGAGACCACTTTGGGACTAAAAATTTTGGGTGGTCTGGTTTCGGTCTGCACTTAGAGGGTTATCTGTGCGTTAAAATATTAAATATTGTTATTTGGTAGTTTGATAAAGTGGTCTCAAATCAGAGGGGTTTTTCGAATTAAGAGTTTTTTTTTTTAAAGACGTTTCTTGACATACCTGTCCTTGTGATCCAAGTGATAAGAGTACTTTGAGTTCTCCATACCTAGTCCCTGTCAAGGGGTTTACTATAGGCAGATAATTATCAACAGCGACTACTGGAAACTAACATAAATAGTGGAAAAAGGCAAACAAATTGTTATTGACACAACTCAATGCTTTCCTGTGATAAACAAACATTGGGCTTAATATTTCACTGTTTCATTTTGTTGACTATGATTTTTTCATTTCATTTTACTGGTTCGCAAATTAAACTTCGTTGATAACGAATATTAACGTAAGCCAGAATGCTTTATTCAGTGTTAAGTTATCCACATGACAAAAACAAACATGGCCGATTGGTCAGTTTAGAAACAACATTTGCGTTAACATAATTGAGATTAAATTTCAGAAAATAAAAATTATAGTATTTACCCACATGAAGTCAAAAAATAATTGTAGGTATACATAATTCAAAAACTGGATGAAAACACTTTTTTTAAAGAAAAAAAACCAAACTGTCACAAGCCGAAGCAATCTTGATTACGCAGCGTGTTTATCGCGGTAACTATGCAGCCATTTTGTTTTGTTGAGAATTTACCAGTTTTCTATTCGACTGGTCATCTTTGTTAAGTAGTATTTTCCCACTGCGCAAGTGGACGTGGTTTAACAAACAACGACCAGTCGAATACGGACATTGTCTTCTGAACGAACCTTTCAACAGTGTCAAACTTATTAAATGACCAATCGGAACCATGAACACGCACGTTTCTACAAACGCACATGTTTGCGTATGTTTTAAAACTGTCGTTTTGTGGGACTTGCAATAATATCCAAGGGCCGGACTGATGATAATAATCTGATGAATTAAAAAAAATTAAAATAATATATTAATTCTTCTCACCTTTGACCTCAGCAGAACGTTTGATATTCTGGAATCTCTGAATGACATGTAGAACTGATGAACTGGCACCTTAACAATTCCAACAAGCTTCAATTAAAAAATAAACATTAAATACAAAATCTTATCCAGGTAGGCTTAATGTCTTGAATTTGATCCAAAATTGTATAAGGGCCACAAAGCACAACATCCCCAACCATAGAAAAAATTATTTCCAACATAACATCAGATATTCTGGATTCAAAACTTTAGAATACCTTGCCTGATTCAATTGTTAACTCCAATTCTAAAAAAATCTTTCTTCGATTTCCCTCTTTTCGATCACTGTCACCACGGTCTCACTTTTTCTTGATTCCCCTGCCCTGATGTTCTGTTGTTGGCTTCCTTGATTCGTTCGTCTGTCTTCTACGTTTTTCTTTGCTTTTTGTCATCTTTTCTGTTTTATTTTGTTTTAAGGCTGGCCCAGCACAAGATTTGCATATCTTCTCAGGCATCTGCTATCTTTTCACTTGTATGGTGTTTTTTTTTATTATCTCCATGAACTTTATCTTTTTGTATACTGCTCTCAAGGAAATTAATAAATGTTATGTTGAAATTGAAAATTGAAATGTATATTATTCTCACCTGGTCATTTTCAGCAGAGGTTTTCTTGTCCCAAACTTCAATTATAATAAAATTATTCCTAGTTCTTTCCAGTAATGCGGATGTAACAAGCACCGGTGCAATCTAAAAGTAAAACAAGAATTAAAACCGAAGAAAATATATGGTTGAAGATAGAGTGGAACAGAAACTGAGTACTTAATATGCTCGTCTTTCACTAACAGAGTCCAGGGTTAAAATCCTGTCATAACCATGATTTTTCTCACTACTAAATGGGACTTGCCATGCCAAAAACTAGCATTAGTGACTGAAACAGAAAAACTACTGGAATTGAATTACTATTGCCAGAGTTATGAGTAAAAGTATTACAGCTTCTCTGTACTAAAGTATACAATACTGACACATTCTTTGCTAATTACTCATTTAGTGACAGTTTGCTGGTTTTAGGATGACAAGCCTCAAATGTTAATTAAATAACTGCTGCTACTCACAATTCAAACAATAGATAAAATTCCTAAAAATAGTATAAAACGGATGAAAGGATACGGATTCTGATAGCTGTGCTGTCCATTCTTAGTAGTCTTTTCACTTCTTTCTCACTAGTGGCCCTTAAGCATTATACTTTATGAATATTTACACAATATTTTTCTTACTCTTTTTTCTCGAAAAGGTGACAATATAATTTTAAATTAGTGATATTATCTACCTGTAAAAAATCATAGTTTGGTTCAGTGGTGCCCCAACAGACGTTAGATTTTACAGCATCGTCGGACGAGAACATTCGACAGATGAGGTAAGTATTGCGAGTAATGTTATCCCGGCCAAAGCCTGTGAAAAAATAATAATCAGTCCTTAATATACAAATATAGCTGAAAGGTTTTATTTTCAGAAAAATTGTACAGAAGACATGAAAGAAATGCCTCAATTGACAAGTCAGCAGAACGAGCTAGAAATCTGTAAAATAAACTGCACACTATGAGTGCACATAAGGTAAAGGGGAAACAGACCTCCATAATTATGGTGGTCTTATTTTGAATTGTTTACAAATCAGTATTTAGGACATTAAATATCAAATGTTATAGGCGAAAAAAATTAGGAAATTTTAATATTTGCAGTTGTTTCTCACTTGCTATTCCAACTCCAGTGCCGGGATGGGGTTTTGGATGGGACTGCGGCTTGGTGTCTAGACTTGTTGGAGGAATACCTTGCAAATTCAAGCCCCTCCCACATGGAATGTGTAGCAGACAATGTAAGGTCATCAGCTGTGGATATAGTATGGAATAAATCATTAATACTGACCATCATTATCATCATCATAATATTAAAAATTTACTATTATCATCATAATCTTCCCTCATCCTAATAAACATTCTCATAATCATCATAATCATTAAATCATTATCACACATTTTAATGTCTATGATCCATGCTTGTTACTTAATGAATGAGTTCATTTCAGGTCTTATAAGGTCTGCCTATTCTAACACTTAGTCTGGGTCTCGAGGGAACATTTATAACATGTAGCAGATATTATCATTGAGTCAAAAGATCTTTATACCTCTGACTGCATCCTTACTGGTGTCTTCTGGTCTGATGTCACACCATGTTTGAATTCCTTCACAAGAATGTCCTCTTGCTGTGGTTCTCCACTCTTCTCTTCCACTCTTCCATCATCTGGTGCAACATCTTTCTTGGATACTGGACTGGAATCCTTTTTCCTTGGTATATTGTTGTATCTGATTTGTGTGTCAGAGGTCACCTTCTTTTTATCTGGTTGATTTTTAGGTATTGGTATAGTTTGCGTTGGTTCCTTATGGGATGGTAGGGCAACAACTTGTGAACCTTTCATTTCGGCGACATTAACCTTTGCCATGTCAAACTTGAAATCTTTACTGTCCGACGCCAGTTCAACTGAGATCTGTTATTATTTTTTAAAATAATGTTTAAATGATAAAAATACAAACAAATAAAAATAAACACACAAAATCAACTTATATTTAAAAGATCATATCAAAATTTATATTCAGAAAATGTATTAATTAGTATACCTGTTATCATAATTTAACCAATATTCATCAATAAAGTAATACTGTAATTGTACGATAACAAAAATTTATGCAAAAGAAATTAAATCATCTTCGTTCATATCAATTTGTGAATCATCCAGTAAGTATCTATTAGTATTAGATTGTTTTTAAATCAAAACTGGAACTTACTATTAACATTGAGTGACATTGAAAGTAGAAAAAAATAGTAAAACATACAATGGAGTCTTTTATAAGGCTTATAATCAGTAACAATTTGGTTATTAGAGTTTTACATACATAGTTTTATAAGACACTAAGAATAATACCTGCAAATGGCCAATTGTTTTTCCATCGTCTTTGTCTATTTTTTCATCTGAGCCGGACCATCTACTTGTATCTTGTTTCTTTTCAGTCTTGTCCCGGACAGGTATACCTACTTGAAGATTGAGTGCAGGGGACTCTAGGACAGACCGCAGAGGAATACTGGCAACTCCCAGCATGTCAGGCTAAAGTTGAATAAAAGAACTTCATCTGTCATCAATCCCACAATGCCACACACTATTCTGTATTTGTACAGTGCAGTCATTTTGAATATAAACTACACATCAGGCAACCCCAATCATTCTACCATTAATTTATTCTTCATTAAATAACTCATTAATTCACTCAATTAATCATTCATTCATTCAATGATTCATTTATTCATTCATCCAGTCATTCATTCATTTCCTTTTATACTCATTCACTCATCCACAACTAGGTCGTTGGACCAAAAGTTTTAAAAAATAATAATTTGAGTATCCATATAACACTATTTTGATTGCCAATCCCTAATATTGTGGTCTAAAACTACATTTAGGACCAAATTAAGCCATAAAAACTCTCTTCATGAACTCTAACAGTGATTTTTTTATTCATGGCCATCAACCGAGGTTTCGTCGTTGCCTTGGTTTGGAGCCCTCCGCCGGACACGTCGGACCCTTTGAGGCAAATTTCTGGCGCCACCACTGATTGACATATGTGGCAAAGACAAGCCAAACCAGTAACTCGTCGCAAAAATCAATTTTGAGTTATTAATACAGTGTTAGAGAGTAAAATAATAGCTATAAAATGGTAAAAAAAATCATTCAAATCCGACATTTCCTTATGAAGTTACAAGCTAACCACACAGCTGTTTAAAGAACAATATATGAGAAATCAGTCTTTAAAGTTTATGATTTCAGGCATTTCTCATGCAGAAACTATCTTTAAATCCTTAAAAAATGTTGTTTTCACATTGAAAATGGGGAAAATAACAGCATAGAATAATGTGTAGATATATATAGGTTAGTTTAGTGAAATAAAATAGATTTTAAAAAATTTGATATTCCAGCATGTTTTGGCCATTTTCTCTGAAACACGATTTGCGACGAGTGACTGGTTTGGCTTGTCTTTGCCACATATTCATTCATTCATTCAGTATTTAAATGGGGTGGTTGAAGCAGACTCCAAGTAGACCTCCCCTTACCACATACGAGCAAATATCACTCCCATATGAGGCATGTTGTGGCGAAATGGTTAAGTTGTCGCACAGTCCAGTATTGAGTAAATGAGCTATAAAATATGGGAGCTCAAAAAATTGTCTAAAAATCCAAATTTGTTTTTCACTATAGATCAACAGTTTAATGTCTTATTAATCGTGTCCCAAAGTATTAGTTCTGGAAGTGGTAAACAAATTGTTTATTTAACGTTATTTTTCATAGTTCATTCTATTAAACAATGTATGCACAAATAACTTTGAAAGGCAATTACTCAAAATCATGTTTATCTTGACTCTAAGAGTACTGTACTTTCACTTTCCAATAACTTAAGCTTGAAATGTCCAATTTGAATGAATGACCCCTCATTTTTAAAGATCACATACTCAGGTATCTGAAATAACTTGAATTTCAATTTTTGCTACAACTTAGCCATTTTGCCACAACATGCCTCATATGTGAGTTGTCTCATCATGAAATGAGACGCACCATTGGTGAAATCATATTGAGATATTCACCAAAACAGGCCAAAGTCAAAATTTTGATTTTAATGTTCTTGAATAGCTTGAAACTTGTATTTTATGATTGTATGCTTTGTAAGTGAATTGTTTTAGTAAAACAGTGTTCTCTGCACATATTCTGTAAATCTAGTCCTATTACTTGTACAGGTTGGTTTGTCTTTGCAGCCGATTTTCTCAAAATATGGTTCTCATACACCTAAATTTTAAATACTCACATCTCCGGATCTACTTATCCTAGGGAAGTCATTCAAAGACCAAATTAAAAAGTATAATGTAATATACTGTACCCAAATATAATATATAAATATGTGATTTGGAGGTGAGCATATGAATTGCCGATCTACTAATCCATCCTTCAATTCAATCATACTCACAGTCCTCTGTCCTGCTGTTCTTGCAAAAACTTTGAAGACAAGGAGATGGTTCCACCACCTGTTCACTGCCATTTCATCAAATCTTACTGGGAAGACGGATCGATGTGTAAAACTCACGTCTGGCAAAAAAAAATATTATAATCACATTCGTAAAATCCACATCTGGTTAAAAATAAATTATCATTATAATCTCCAAAAGCAACCATTAGAGGGAAAGGTATACTTACCAGATTCTTTTACTTTCTTTGAAGCCAACCTCATAACCTCTGTAGCTGTTGTGACCTTTGACCCTCCATCTCTTGAGCTTGCCACTACTGGAAATTTATACTCCACTAAGTAGGTCCTGTCAATAAAAATGCATTTCTTTAAATAAAATTTAAAACATATGAAAGTGGAATAATTTATAAGGATTATGATAATGGTAATGAAGATAATGGTGGTGATGAAGATGATGATGTCATGTCAGTGATGATGATGATGATGAAGATGATGATGATGATAATATTGGTGATTTATGATGATATAATTAATGCTGTGTACATAATTGTTTTATTTTACCTCATCTACATATTGTATTTTGAAAATATATAGCATATTATAGTATCTATATCTCTATAGTTACTGCACTTGAATGTCAATGTTGAGCAAAGTCACCAGACTCTGATGTTAATGCAAAGGCTGGTAGTAAAACTTCCAATCTTTCAATAAAACACACCCCACAATCTATCTACCAACTAACATATTAAGAAAACACAAAATCATAACTCACTTCTTCCGCCTTAGCTTCTGTGTTGGTCTCGGAGGTCGGCTTTTCACTTTATGACCTTTGCTAGTACTACTTGGTGTGGCTGCCTGTGCAGGTGTTACATCATTAAGAGTCATGTCATCTACACTGACCCTTGCCACGTTGACCCGGCCAAGTAGTGTCAGCCTCTCTACACTCAGACCTTCGATTACATCAGAACCTACAGTAACATATAAACATATTTTTATTTATTCTATATTATTCTCAGTGATAAAACTGCAAGTGGCTTGCATCATCATGCTCATATATGGGTGTGATATGACATCATCATTCCTATATATGGGTGTGATGACATGTCAAATCTGAAATCTAATTATGAAGATTAAAAATTTAAAGTATAAATAAATACTTTATCTTTTTATTATTCTATAATATAAATTAAACTTTTGGTTTTTAATTTATATCTGACCTTGTCTTTCAGTTGGTTCTTGGATCAGGTCATCAAATGAAACTCTAGAGCCTTCTGACCTAGCAGACAAGCTTTGCGTATCATCATCATTATCATCAATACCATTGTTATCGTTCAGACTTTGCAAACGTTGACCAGCATTTGGTTCTTTTTCAGTATCTAATTGGGTTGAGCAACTTTCACGTCTACTACTGTTTCTAGAGGATTTCCTTGATGGCGGCCGCTGAAACATAAACAATTAACAGAATAATAATAATAATAATAATAATAATAATAATATCGTATCATAATTCTTTTAATATAAAAAGTTATTTAAATAATAATAATAATAATCTATTTCTAAAATGTTACTAATATCAATATAAAATTTATTAAATAGTTGAATACTTTTTTGTTTATTCTTTACACTGCCTGGAATACCCAAAATAAAAGAATATAAAAGCAATGATAGCTTCAATTCCATTAGCTCTTTGGCTAATTTTAAATGAATATATTTAGCAAAATCCAGCTTTTATTATGATTTGGCTATTTGGCTAATAATAACAGCTTAAACAATGTAGAACCCAGTTAATCTTTTTAACCTTATTATGCTTTGTCCAGATTATATGCCCATATATAGTCATGATATGCCCATATATGGTCATGATATGCCCATATATGGTCATGATGTGATGCCAAGTCACATGTTATCCACCAAACCTTACCACTCCATGTGCTTAATAATAATAGTATCAACATTATATAAAATAACAAAACCATTTGTGACAGAAATTACAGACTGAAAGTCTAATACATACAATTAATAATAATTTACTTTCAAAATGATGAGTCCACCACATTATTCTGTAAATATGAACACAATTGGCTTTTCATGATTAAATATTTAACATGAAGCACATTTATTTTTTTTAAATGGGAAAAATACCTAAAAAATAAAAGAAATAGAAACTGAAATATACATGAAGAAATTCTCACTTTCATATTAGACTAAAGCTACAATAAACGCTGTTGGAATTGAGGGTCGCTACAGCATTGCAATGCTAGAGCTGTGACTTAGTGGGTAAGATGCTTGCCTCCAAATTGCAAAGTCCTGGGTTCAAATTCTGTCAGTGTCTCCACTTTAAGATTTAGATAGAACCTTACATGATTTTATTATTTTTTAACAGTGGCAGATCCAAGGGTGGTGAAAGGGGAGGGAATTCTATATATATATATATATATATATACTCTCTCTTATACACATCTAGATGTGTATAAGAGACAGGTACAGATCTGATTTTCTCTACTGTTCCGTTTAAAT